TATATATATATATATATATATATATATAAAGTGTGTATGCGAGTACATTTTTTAAAATTCATTCTAGTGTTCTTGTCAAAACCTGAGCTCTTGAAATGTTGCACAATATTGACATATTCAATGTTTTTTTTTTTTTTTTTTTAGATTAATAAATGAATCAGATCATTTGCATCACTTCTTTTAACATTTTGTCAGTTATTTCATTGAGATTAAACTGAGTCAAAGAGGAGTTTTTGGAGTGGGTGAAAAAGAAGAAACTGTGTGGGAGATTGTGATTAGTGTTAGGGAGGGCAGCTAATAGAGAAAAGAGCACTGAAGAATGAAGAAAAAAAACTGAAACTAAAGAGAAAACTACATTTGAAGGAGATTTGAATTCCTGTATGAACAAAAAGGTTATTTATATATATATATATATATATGAAGAGTTTGGTTCCAAAACGCGATCAAATCAATCTATCAAGTTTCCGCCAAAATCAATATTGTATCTGGTCGGTATTGAAAAGTCAATTTTTAATTTTAAGCAAAATGCGATATCCGCCGATTTATTCTGTCATGTTTTCTCCCTTTCTTTCCAAACCGCGACAAACGCCAGTCTCCCTTCTCTGCAGAATGCGATATATCCGCTCAACCAATCACAGCGCACCATTCCACGCACTGTAAACTGTAACAACCAATCACAGCGCACCATTCCACACACTCTAGACAGTAACGGCTGTGGTTTGAATACACCCGGCATCCTAGTTTTCCTAATCTATTTTGTATTTTGTGATCAACAAACAAACGATAAATTGCATGTGATTGTCATGCGCATCTCGTCAGTAAAGCCGGTTCTGTGAATAGTAAATCTCCATCATGTGCTTTCAGATGGAGCGGCATTTAATACACAGAGCCGTAGATCACTGCTATATTATTAATTTAGTGAAGAGTTTGGTTCCAAAACGCGATCAAATCAATCTATCAAGTTTCCGCCAAAATCAATATTGTATCTGGTCGGTATTGAAAAGTCAATTTTTAATTTTAAGCAAAATGCGATATCCGCCGATTTATTCTGTCATGTTTTCTTCCTTTTTTCCAAACCGCGACAAATGCCAGTCGCCCTTCTCTGCAGAATGTGATATATCCGCTCAACCAATCACAGCGCACCATTCCACGCACTGTAAACTGTAACAACCAATCACAGCGCACCATTCCACACACTCTAGACAGTAACGGCTGTGGTTTGAATACACCCGGCATCCTAGTTTTCCTAATCTATTTTGTATTTTGTGATCAACAAACAAACGATAAATTGCATGTGATTGTCATGCGCATCTCGTCAGTAAAGCCGGTTCTGTGAATAGTAAATCTCCATCATGTGCTTTCAGATGGAGCGGCATTTAATACACAGAGCCGTAGATCACTGCTATATTATTAATTTAGTTGACTAGTAACAGAAACATTAATGGCATAAATAAAAACACTTACACTGACAAGCTACGCAATATCGTGTTCATAATCGAATGCGACTCATCTACGATTATGAACGCGATATTGTGTAGCTTGTCAGTGTAAGTGTTTTTATTTATGCCATTAATGTTTTTGTTACTAGTCAACTAAATGAATGTAACATGGCAAAGATTAATGCACTTTTGGAAGTTGAATGGAAGGGAAATGTCATTTTGGAATTTCTGTGGTTTAATGTGATATTGTTGTTCATGTATGTTCATGATGAAATTTTCTTAATTATTAACTTAATTAATAACATTAACAAGATGACCCGTTGAATTCTTTTTGGAGCTATGACTGATTGAATGCATTTTTAGTCCAGTGCCTGTATATAAGATTAGTATTGACCAAGCTCAGAGGCTGTCATATGTGGATCAACTTACTATGTTGTGTATTTTCAACAGTTTCAGTATGAAAAATAACTTTTACATTGATTCAATGGATTTATTGCAATTTGAAAAAAAAAAAAAAACGTGTCATGGATTTATTGCATTTTGGGAATTTTTTTATTTATTTTTTATAATAAATCTTTGAAAATCAAAATCTGGATTTGGATTTTTTATGTTATTATAACCTGTGTGAAAGTTTGAAACAGAAAATAGTGGTTTTCATCTTGCCACTTTCTTGGTAAAGAAAACACGCAACTTTCCCTGTTTCTTTTTCCTGTTTTCTTTTTCCTCAAACAAAGCACTCTTTAAAACATGATGCTCTGGTTCCCTTGTTGTACAGAATCAAATAGAAGTGAGTTTCCGATATTTTTTAACTTTCTCTAAAACAGTTCAATTCCCAGCTGAAGTGTTTGGCAAGAATATTATGGGCTCTTAGAAATGTACTTAGGAACTTTGGTCATTATGAACAGGCAGTCTGGACTGGACTGGTTGCAAAGACTAAAGTCTCAAACCCAAAGGGATATTCTTTATAAAAGTTAAGACTGGTCCACCCCCTCCTAAAACTTTGTTTGGTCTTCCAAAAGAGGACGATATCCGCTTCGTCATGCCTAGAGCTGATCCGTGCTGGTCGCTGAGGAAATACATCAACTTCGCGCTGTGGATAGCTGAATTGGCTTTCACTGTGGACGAAGCGGAGTCCAGCCCAGGGTCGTCACATGTGGTTGCTGCAAGCCCACCGGCCACTCCTTCATCGAATCCGCCGGCCGCGCCGTTCTAAAGCCTGCTGGCCGTTCCTCACTCAAGCCAGCCGTGTGTGACGCTGTGTGTTTTGTTGTGAAAGCGAAACTACTTTGTTTGGCCTTCCAAAAGAGGACACAACTAGAAATCAGTGGTTAAGTTGTATTTACAACACTGTTCCGGAACAGTTCAACCCAAATATTCAGATCTGTGCATTGCATTTTATGGGGGACTGTTTCCTGAACCTGCAGAGTAGCCTACAATGCGTCTGCACAAAGGCTGTTTCTATAAAGTGGGGCAGTTCCAACTTTGCAAGGACAGTCTGGCGCTTCTGACTCGCAGACTATAAGTAAGTTTTTTTTTTATATTTAAAGAATTTGCCACCGATGATTGAAACGCGAGTTTTGAGCAGTGTAGAGTAGCGCTTGTTTGTCGTTTCTCCGATCACAAATGCAGACCTGTTTTTATGTTAACGTGGCACGATATGCAACGCAGCACGTAAAAAGTATGTCATTATAATCAGTAATTATGTCCCCACTGGATGCAACAAATGCCTCGTTTATAATGGGTTTTATTGGTGTTGTCTCATTCCGTCATATGCATGAGGTATTCAGCCAATCACAATGCACTGGATAGCTGGCCAATCAGAGCACACCTCGCTTTTCAGACCGATGAGCTTTGTAAAAATCGAGGCGTCAGAAAGGCGGGGCATAGAATAGCAACAATAATGTACATTATGTGGAAAATAATGTGTTTTTTTAACCTTAAACCGCATAAACACATTGCATTACACCAAATACACAACATAATGTTATTTTTAGCAATGTCATATGACCCCTTTAAATGTAAAGTTGTGTGTGTAATGTAGCAATGGATATAGATTTTAGAGTTTTATTGGGTAATAACTATATTTTTGTGTATAAAATTATTTATATTTGTTTAATAATTCAAAATATTTTTGTAAATTATATATATTTATATTTATCTGTGACCTGTGAATCTGAATTATTTTATTTTTACAACTTGTTTTTAATTGGGCGGGGGGGGGGGGCATGCAATGAAGAAACTGCTGTTAACATTTACATTTTATTATTACTTTAAATAAACATTCTGTTTTTAAATGTACTGGATTTTTGTGTTACCTGATTTCGGCTGATTTTGTGTCTGTATTTGTGTGTTTAACAGCAGAGTGAAACCAGCAGCCACTGGCCAGGGCTCCATCTCCCCCCTCAAATCCTCTAAAGTCCCACCATCCTCCTCTGTCTCTGCCTCTGCCAAGCGAATTGGCCGCTCTTCAACTTCATCAACCAACCTCAAGAGGTAAGCCTGACTTCCCTCTAATCAGCTTTCCTCCAATCTTCTCTACACTTTCCATTTCTTTCTTCCTCCTGCTTATTCTCTCACTCGTCCACCTCTTTCTCTTTGTTGCCTCTTTATTTCCAACTCTTTCGTGTAACTTATTCCTTCTCTTTTTATTTCTCTCCCCCTCTATTTCATGTCCTCCCAGCTCCCTGGTGGCCTTCTTTCCTCTCTGTGATTATCCTATGCTCTGAAACAGAGAACCGTAAACGCAAGGAACCAAGTTGGTTGCTCCATGCTGTTGGTTTCCAGCGACTCGTTCCCTGCTGTTTATGTAATCGGATATCCAGAGTCATATCACCTACCTACCCTCTATCACTCTCTCCAAACCA